ATCACTGTTTACACGGACAAATAATTTTAATTAAAATATACTTTAAATAAAAGTACCACTACATTACTTTAAACTTACAAATAATGTTCGATTAATCGAGAAAATTTGATTATTTTCATTAATTTGTTAAAAATGATTGATCAATCCGAATAATCAAAATTTTAGCATAGTCGAACGGGCTCCCTTAAGTTCGCTTTGAAAGAACAAGGAGATCAGCTTTATTCGAAAAGTCGTTCATGTGGCATAACGCTTAGTCCAAAGTCGTGCTATGCGATCATGCTCTTCTCTATTTTGTAGATACTGCGTTGCTATACTTCCTACTAAAGGATCCGCTGAAACATAAACAATATCATAAATAATAGCATAATAGTAAATTTATTCATATTCCTATTTTATATAATATTTTCATTCATTTAAGATGATTTTAGGATAATATAAAATTGCACAACAACAAATTTGAAGATACATAAATATATATATTAATTTCGTTAGCTTTATTTAAAGAAAATATATTATATTAATACCTAAAATAATTTAACTATAATACTTATGAAGTTTATTTTACCTGGATTACAGTCTGTTAAGAGAGAACAGATAGATAATAGTACTTTTGAAATGGTTAGCGCGGGAGACCAATTATCCTTTAAAATGTCCAAACAAATTACACCCTGACTGTTGATATTACAATGATAGATGCGTGTTCGGAATGTAACCTAAAAACATTATATTAACGATTAATTATATCTTAATGATTTTCTGTCACTCTTTTCACTACTTTTAATAGATGATCCACAATGGACTGTTTTTTATTTGTACTATATAATACAATACGTTCTGAAAGATACGTAGCCCGTTAATAAGAAATTACAGAGATTATAAACGTTGTATAATGACTGCATAAAAGTCTCTTTTTCAAAGAAAATATGCTGTATTCTCATATAAGTACCCAATACTGAAAAGTTAAAATCAACATATAACTTCATCTTCTTTATTTCAAAGCTATTTCTATATTCAGTTTCGTTACATTTTGTTTTTAATAAATTACAATCTAAAATTACATGTTTAATAAACTGCCATTAAAATTTTATCGAGTATTATTTACTATTAATTTTACAATAAATGTATATGATTAAAACATTATATAGTGAAGAAAGTTTGAATAATAATTTAATAACGTAAACTTTGATTAGAACGCTAAAGCATTAAAAATAAAATAATTTATTGCAAATTTCATATCATCTTGTATATAAACAATTTTTCTTTATTTTAATATCGTATTATTGCACATCAACTCTATAACTTTTACTGACATAAATTTCGCTATAAAATTTATCACAAAATTAATAATAATTAATTATGCGATTAACATACCTTTGGAGGTTTAAATGGATACTCTGGGGAGAAATGTATGTCTAAGAAAAATACTCCTCCCTCATAAACTGAACCAGGAGGTCCAAGTATTGTTGATACCCATTCATATAAATTGTCTCCTTTAGGTCCTGCACTATAAGATAAATACCGAAGTTACATAGATTATTTAGTAGTATAAGAAACAAGAACAAAAATTCGGATTTTGGCAAAAATTAACAATTAGACCATTGATTGTAATAAAGCTTTTCTAATTACTAAAAGAAAGAAATTTGAAAGTCAAACTATTGTTTACTTTTACGTAAGTAAATACTACAGTCGAACCTTGTCTTATATCATTCGAGACAATCCTAACAGCCAGAAGAAAGAAATATTGAATTTTTTGTTTATCTCATTCTGTGACACATAGCGTAGCTTACAAAGTAAGTTTTATTTCAACTTCTAGAAATTTTCGCAGTGGAAGGGAAGGGAATGAACAAAATTGTAGTTTTATAGATATTTCTGAATTATCCAGGTTCGACTGTATTATTGGCACAAATAGAAAGTAAGCCAAAATAAGCTTTACTGCGAATGTGTTAATATCGCAAATAACATAAATGATAAAAATAATTAGGGGAAAAAATCAAACCTGCAATTTGGTGGTGGATCTAATGTGATTTCTGCCAATTCTTTTTGTATCCTGCGACAAGAAGATTAGTTTAAGCTCTTGTTAAGTCTCCATGGCAGAGTCTTTTTAATTTTGGATGATGGATGTGCTACCTTTTGGCGGATGTTCCTAAAGCTTTCGACATCTTTGGATTAGGCTTCGCTTCCTTGCTCTCTGGCTTATTGTCTGCCAGTGATGAACCACGCCCCCGGCCAGTTCCACTGGAACCTGCGCCTGATGACATGGCTCTAAAATGATTTACTTAAGCTGTAAAATATATTTACTTCAGAAATACATATAATAAGATAGCATATAAGAAATCAAGTTTAATAATATATATTTCATTATTGTTACATAGGTAATAAATAACAAACAAATATGTAGGTCTGCAAATTATCAAAGATACAATAGAACAAACCTCGTGCCCTTGACTACGGACGTCGAGAACCTCTTTGGATAAGACACACAAAAGAGAAATACTCTTAGTACCAATGATAGTATATTCTCACCAAAAATTATTAAACGAATGATTCTCTTCTCACCTAAAATTTGATAAAATACAAAAAAATAATTTCAGTAGAATTTATTTCTTTAACATAATAATATACAGTAATTAAGAAAAATTCAAGTGATTAGATGAAATTAACTAAAAGCATTAGAATGATAAATATAAATTCATGTATAAAATTGTATTTATAAATGTATTTATAATTACAAACATTTCTTAAAAGGTACCTTTAAATTAAATATCCCAATTAATATATTGTGACGTTACATATTTTATTAGACTTTTCATTGATAGAATAAAAATTAGATTATAATATTGCCTTATGCGAATAACACTTTAGTACTTAAAATCAAATATCAAAATAAAACAAATCCACAAGATACAAAGCAAATGTTCACATATTTCTGTATTCTACTATACATAAACAAACATTACACGAATAGTTGTACAACCTCAGTAAAAATAATTTTGCATGACAGTTTTGTTAATTTAAATTATATGAAAAAAAGAAAAATGATATGTTTGAAAGAAATTAATTAAATTCTGTAATTTTATAAATGCTTGTAAAATATGGAGTCATATATCTTAAACAAAAGTGAAAAATAATTGTCACAAAACTGAATCTATACAAATACATAAATCTTTATAGAATAAGTGAAAACATATTTATTAATTTGTACTAGATAACTAATTTAATCGGTAAGATACTTAAAACATATTATCAACATTGAATAAAGGGATTTGATAATCAGACAACGAAAGAACGTACAATAATTATCAATAATTTCTATTTAAAAAGAGAATCATAGAACCATTCATGATTCAGAGGAAGAGGTGTGTTACCTCGTTGGTAGAAAAGTTAGCCTTCCGATCGTTTCAGAATAAACTTTAGGACCAAAGATCGAACCTACGTAAATCCCAAGTGAACCGGCCGAATTCCTTGTTGGATGTACTACTGGAAGCGAGCGTGCTCCTCAGGTGCTGCTGTGTATGCTGGCGGGCTTCATCGTCGCTCTCATGTCTCGAAGTCACGATCGCGGCGTCCCTTTTCCCTCGGCGAGCGCCGAAACGTGCGCATCTCTGCGTCGCCGGATGTTGACTCTGTCGCCGCCGCGGCGGACATCGGTAATCCTAGCTTCTAGATGGATGCACTGTCTCCATCATTATTCAAAAATATGCAATACCAATCATTACCAATAAATTCCCTAACATCAGTTTTTTTCTCGTGTTTTCCATTAGGTTAGGGGATACGTTAGTCCACAATAACAATAAAAGTTGGAACTATTTGTTTCATAATATACTTGAGATATATTATTTATATGCGTAGGTGATACAGATATAAATTTCCTTCTATTGCTACTAGTTAAAAATCTAGTTATTTAGAAGTGTAAAAAATGGTAGCTTCATTTGTATGACGCGTGCGCGCGCGCGTGTATGTGTACAGTGGGTTGCAAAAGTTTTCGTACCTACACTTGCGCACAGAAGAGTTTTATTTTTATATTATGCTTATCATATAAAACGTTTTAAAACTTTCATAACACTAATGAGACGCGATTACGTGATTATATCGGTAAAATTTTATTGAAATTATTATATATTATATACGTGCAACATGTTTATTGCAGACCTATATTTAGTAAAAGCTTAATATACAATATGAATAGTAATACCGTCTTAAGCGTATATGTAGTGAGACGTATTAATATTGTGGATGATTGCCAGTTTAAATATTTTTGTGCTTGGAGTTAGGTTTCTACAAAATATATATTTGTGTTAAATATCTTGCAACCTCTGTATATTTTCAGAATTGTTAAAAATTTTACCAATATAATCTGATAGTTGGGTGTCATTACAGCGCTAATGGAATTTTAATATGTTTCGTATAGTACACGTAATATGATCATAAAAAGCACACCCGTTGTATGTATCTGCTAAATGTACACCTATTTGAAGATGGAAAAAACACAAAGGTGGGATATTAAGGTGGGATATTTGTAGACGTTCAACAGGAACTTTTGAATTCTAGCTTTCCTGAAGTTCAACAGGAATTTTTAAATTATAGGTTTCCTGAAGGTGAATTACATATAACAGTTTTGAGTTTATTTTCGCGGATGAATTTTTAATTATTTCAAAGTTTTATCGCGTGCTAACTGAGTTAGGAGGACGCTACTGTGGACGAAAACTATGCAAAGATCGGTTGTATTCATGCACTATAATAAAGTTAATTAAATTGCAGTGTGATTTGTTATTATATTTAGTTTTAAAAGTCAGTTTTTTCCTTGCATCCTTTTTAATTTTTCTCTGTTATTACAATTTCATAAATTTCTAGAATAAGCGGAATGCGCGCGTTGATTGGTCGATTAAATAGATAAGGAAGATGGTCGACGAGTAGTTCTACTAGAGGGAAATTTGAACGCATTTTTAAGAAAGGAAGACAGGAAATAATTAAAGGACGAAGAAGGGTAAACATATCGACTTAAAATAATCAAAACTCATAGATGAGGACTGGACATATATGTGATGAGTAGAAACGGCGACATTATGGAAATATCCTCCTACAGTAATTTCCTTACTGTAGCTGGAAACACGCGGCAGAAAAGCATAACACAGGACGAATTCATCTTGGAAGACACTAGGAATAACATATTTTATATTATTGACTAAATGAATTAACTATTTATTATAACAGCGATAAATATTGTAGACCGATGAATTTGCCACTAAACGGTCTGCATTCCATTTAAATACATTTTTGAATAACGAATAGTTTGGGAGATAATTGCGTGTGAACCTTCAAATCGAACACCCTGTACATGCAGCTTACTTCTTGAGTTATGGATGATTAAAGAAAATGTCCAAAGTGTTTACCTCGTTACTTTAGTGAATGTTATTAACTGAATATGTACTTAAGCACATACGTTGTAACTCCGAAGCATGACTTGATCTTTTCTAAAGTTTACAAAATAATACGAATCCAAAATTAAATATATGAGCTATATCTGGAATATCTCCGCTTGTGCGCACATTCAGCAAAAAAAAAAGAAGATAAAATGCAGAAAAGAAACATTAACGCTTTAGATTATATGAACTTTAGTCGGGTGAGATAGCTTCCAACTGCAAGCACATTTAACTACATACTTCTCTTCGTTTATTAATTGCTCCGCCTTTTATAATTGATACATTTGTTGAAATATAATAGTAGTTTATTGTATTTTTTTATTTTTAGTTTATTTAGACGAATAAAGAACATACGGGTCCAGCTTTACAAGTGATCAATATTTACAAGATGCAAAAGTCGATAATCTTCATAATCTTTCTTCTCTTTCGTATCGGTGGTAAGTCAGTATTTAAATGTTATTGAAGATAATGTAATTTTACTAAAAACTATGCTAATAACTGTTTTCGAGAAAATATACTTGAAAAGAAGTAAACATTTTACAAAATTATTTTGTATTTTCGACGTTATTCAACAATCGTACACATAGATATGTATGTACACGATGTTTTTATACATTAAAAATACAAAACGTATGTTTCTTAAGAATAAAGAAATATAAATCTTGCTTTCTCAGACGGAAACGAAAATTGCCCTCAGATTATCGGACGGAGCGAGTGGGCTGATGTAGACGCAAAAAGCATAAATTATTTAATTATTCCCATACCATATGTCATTATTCATCATACAGTTACCGCAGAATGTGATACTAGAAGTACATGTATTGCTCAAGCCGAGAACATTCGATCTTATCACATGGATAGTAATGGATGGGATGATATAGGATACTCTTAAGTATCATTTTAAATACACTACTTACACCAAATAACATGATCATATAAGATCTGTAGTTTAAATGTAGAAAAAATAAATGACAATGAACTTTGAATAATTCAAAAAAGAATTTTAATCCGCTCACTTTAATCTCTCATTAACTAGATTTCGGTTTTCAATATTTTACAACGATTCTAAAAAAATTTGTATTCTTTATTTATTATTTTTATATTTATAGAGTGCAACTGACAATTGTATGAAACAATAAGCGTTTTATTCTACCGTTTGTTATTTAATATTTTTACATGATAGGTTTCTAATCGGTGGAGATGGGAATATATATGAGGGCCGCGGCTGGAATCGTGAAGGAGCTCATACCATTGGATATAATAAAAAGTCTGTCGCAATTGGTTTCATCGGAAATTTTCAAGGTATTCACACTTTCTTTCTTTTGTGATTATATGTATTATACATTTGTATTTTTATATTATAATTATTTTATGTTAAATGCAATATCCTTTTTTACTCAGAAAAGGCCGCAAGTGATAAAATGCTGAATGCTGCGCATAAATTAATTCATTGTGGCAAATCAGAAGGAATACTTAGAGCAGATGTTCGTGTAATCGGCGCTAAACAAGTTACAGCCACTAAGAGTCCTGGATCACAACTTCAGAAACAGATTAGAAATTGGCCTGAATGGGTTTCTACTCCGTAACCGCAGAACATAAATGTTTGAATGTAGTATTTGTCTAGCAATAACAATGTTATACGAATAATATAATTAACAGGGAAAATGTTGATTTGGATAATATATTTAGCATCTTTTATTTTATATTCGTTTGTTAAACGAGTCGATGCACCACATAAAATTGAAGACATATTTTTTTATATCCTTAATTATATTAGCCTTAGAAAATACTTAGTACATTAATATAAGATAATAAAATGTTGCTATTAATACTAATGAAATGATGAGATTCATTAATATTTTAATACTTAACTATATTCTTTCTTTCATTTGCTTTTGACGTAGTATCGAAGGGAAAAATTGTTTGTATTCCTATCTCGTCTCTGTCTCTTCGAATATTTTCAATAATCGATATTAGATTCATACTAGATATTAGAATCGTCAAATGCCGAATTTGTATCTGCCGTGATTTATTCTCAAAGTGAACGATGCAATTTGTCGATTTAAGGTATGATATCGAAAAGTCCTGCCCTTATTCACAAAACATCGTTTTAGCAATTAAACATACATAGAATATGTTCGGACGAAGAACATTTTATCGTAAAATACGAATGTATTCTACTGTATTCGTATGATTAGAATGACTCGATGTAAACAACAGGTCACACCTTCAATAACTATATCGTAATAAGACAACGTTTCATATCCTGTAATTAAAACACGCATTCTTAGCTGCATGCTTACTTATCAATATTTCCTTGTGACTTTGTAAACAAAGTATTTAAAGACAAACTGCGTATAATATGTAATTTATTTTTCCTTATATTAGTTTCCTACTGTTTACCAGAAAAATTTCTCAGAACATATCACGATCGATCTAATTTATTCATATTACGCGTACTTCTCGTTATTAAAATAACAATACGATTCATTAACAATGTACACCATGTACACCGAAGTTCTCTCTCACTTAGAACCAAAGAATATCTCCGATTTCACTCATACTACAAAACTTAACACCATGGTGTACTTATTACTGCCCTTAAAATGTTACTACCTTAAGGCATAATCTATTTGTATCACACAGAACATATTCGAAAGATACTACTTCCCTGCAAAATAATATTAAAATAATATATAATATATAAAAATTTGTTATAACAGATAAACAAAGTTTATCGTTTGTCTCTTTATTTATCTAAAGACATAGTAAAATAAAGATGCTATTACACACCGGTGCTATTATTTTAAGGAATAGGTATAGAAGATATAGAAGATATCAAATAGTGGACAAATAATTTACTGCACAAAGATACAAAGACGAAGATTACCAATTAACTAGAAGAATATCAAATAATCGCAGCTTCTTTAGACTGCAAATCTCCTTCTAATGCTTTCAGTAACTTTTTATTGTACAAAGTTATTTTATATAATAAGAAAATTAAAATGCTGTCCAGAAAATTTTGGTGTAAACTGTTAAAAAAGGTGATTCGACATTTTTCAATCGTACTTATACAATGTTTACCTTATTCTTCGCAATCTTGTGTGTCATCTCAATCCTTCTTCGCAACTGTTTGTGCTAGCAAAGACATATATAAAGCCGATCCTGGCCGATCTGATCTCAGTTCTCAAAATGTTGCGACCAGTGCATTTGGTGAGTACTGAATTCAGTGTGTTTACTGAGATTTTATTTTAAAAAATCTTTGACGTTCTTTCTATTTATATTTCAAGAAATCACATTATTATTTTCCATGAAACGAACGATATCTAAAAATTATTATTCTTTTTCTTAATAATATACCGTATTACTGTTCCGTCATATAAATAAAGAATAAAGGATGTCTTTCGTATATAGATCTTACTTGTCTCAATGATGGTTTTGGTATCCTGTTTGGAGGAGCCTTTAAAACCTGCTACTATGGAGGTTGAATCTTCTTTGAATAATGTCAAGGACTTGAATGCTGATGCAACTGCTTATGAGTAAGTAAAAATAATTTACGATATCAAACAATTGACGAGTTGATTTAAAAACTATTTATCATTAAAAAATAAGCACTTTCTATCATACACGATGATAAAAGTAACGGAATATAATCCATGTTTCCTAACTTTCTGCTGGACGCTTTCTGTTTTCATTGCGGAATGGATTTTATGATAAATTAAACTAATAAACGATATTATTTCATGTTTCTTTTGGATATCTCGAAAGAAAAATAATTATTTTATTATTACGTCTAATTTAATACTGATTAACGTGTTAAGAACATTTCTTTTTTTTTTGGCAGATTATCGCAAGTCTAAAAAATCGAAGCATCCAACGTTTAGATACCTTAAAATCGTATTAACTATATCTGGGTTCCAATGCCAAAGTGTAAACTTAAATCACGCTTTTCAATCTTTAGTATAGAACAAAACACAGTTGCAAAGCCTTGTAACTGAAATCATTAGAGATATATACGTAATTTTTTGAACGCAGATAAAATGTTTATCATTTTATTGTTTAAAAGTGAATCTGTGTACTGGGCATTGTTGTATTTTGAAATATAAATAGACCGTTTTTCTCGCAACAAGATATGGATCTAATATCGTTTTTACGCTATTATATTAAAAACTAATTTTTAGAATGAGAAAATTGTTTACCTTCGAAAAGAGTGAAAAATCTAATATAAGTAACATGTAAAATGTCATTTTTTTTTTTTTTTTTAAGTGAACTTTAATACATTCTGGCTTTGAGGTGCAGATATGAAATAACCTTTGAAAGTCAAGTTAAGAATGACATTATTTCCAAAGTAGTTTGTTCGTCCCTTTATTAACGAATTATTTATGAAGAACTTTTTATTCCCGAATTTAATAACATTTTTATTAATGTTTTTAAGCTCTGATAGACAGCATTATGGACATGGATGGAATGGTGGTGGTGGCGGTGGACACGGAGGTGGTGGCGGTGGACACGGAGGTGGTGGAAATGGACATGGAGGTGGTTGGGGTGGACATGGAGGTGGTTGGGAAGGAAGGGGCGGTTGATGATGATGCAAACAGAAAGAACAGTATCCAGTAAAACATTACTGAAATATCAAATTATTGTAACATTTGTCACTTCGCTTTTTCCATGATTATAATTTCCACAATATCTAATCCTTTAAAAAATAAATGTTATTTCCAATATATGTGTAACTTATATTTCGCTCGTATCACTACATGATACATCTCGAATTACATTAACATTATTAGTTGTTTGTTTCGTCATTTTGTATCGACTAAAAGATCACTAGCAACTGGTATATGGTAAATACGGCGGGGAGGTGGGGAGGCCATAGAAGATGGAAAAGATAAAAGAGCATAAAATATAATTAATTAAGTGACATTACTTTATTTCAAGATATTATCTTCAAATAGTTATTACAGTAGATTTTTTAAATAATCAAGTGACTTTTCGTTGAATTACTTTGTCATTTGACTATCAAATGAAATGATTTTTTATTTTACTTGATACTTTCTATTTGAATAAATGTTTCTTGAAATAAATTTAATGTATGAAAGACAAGAGGAACATAAACACAAATTACACAAGCATTCTGTTCTGCGTGTTTCTTTGTTTCTCATATGCAAATTTTTACAACATTACGATTGAAATATTTTTTAAACTAATGATTGTTCAACCCAAGTACCTCGACACATTTTTACGGAGAATGACAAAATGCATCGAATAGTGCATCGAATAAAACAATGTATAGTTTCATTTAGAAAAATAGAGGTTAACTTGTAATCTCTGGAATGTATTCACTTACGGTAAAGACAGGTGCACCGCGTGATGCATCACTCGAAACCATTTAATTCCTCGTAATGAAATTTTTCTCAACATTATACATACATATATCCCGTATCTTCCTTTCTTTCTTTCTTCCCCGGTATTTAAACAGCCCCGGACCTCGGATTCGCATTTCTACATTTCCGCTATATTTCCGACCATAGTGGCGGATCCAGAAGGTGATCCCCCCTACCGTCCCTCCCCAAAGAGTAAGGAAACATAAAAATATTATGTCACATTCTACCGTCCCTCCCCAAAGAGTAAGAAAACATAAAAATATTATGTCACATTCTGAAAAACTTGTTAAGTATATAATTAATGTAAATTGAATTATTTAGGCTGATAGTATCAGATAGAAATATTAAAATATAAATTACAAGCAAATTTTAAATCTTATAAAAGAAGGTTCAAAAATGCTCTTACACGTTTCAATCCCCTCCCCCTTCCCAGGCAATGCTCCTTGATCCCCACTATCTGCTCAAGATTACGCATTGCCTCTAGAATATAAACAATTCCTTGTACGGCTCCTCAAAGGTATACATATGTTCATTTTTTCTTTCAGTAGTGCATTTATTGTAAATTTTCTAATATTTAAACAAATACAAAATATAGATGAATTAAGTTGCTTTATACAATGCAAGCCAATATTAACGAGGAAACAAAATTACAATATACAAAATTGAGCAAAATTTATTAGTTTCTTTTAATGGAACAATTATTTACTTTATACAAAATTCTTATATATGTATATATATATATATATATATATATATACATATATATTTATACATATATATATATATATTTATATATATATATATATATATATATATATAATACGATAAACGTATACGAGACAATACATTATTTATAGTAGTACACAATATTAATTATGGAATGAAATAGAACACTCATGGTTTCAAATTTAGTTTGACTACCTCTTGACGTATAACAGAAATCAGTTCTTGATTTATCAAAAATATAAATCTCAGACCTGCAATCTAAAAAAAAAGAAAAAAAAAGAACATTGAAAGTATTATATGTCTTGTAGAAAGTGTATTAGTAAGAGTAAAATGTTCTCTTTTATAATATAATAAATTCTCTTAGTATAATAAAACTAAACTAATTTAGTACCTCAATTACACTATTGTTATTAAGCTTCATTTTATTTCCTGCAAGAATGGGCCTGCTGTCTACAAAAATTGGTCGTTTTCCCTCTGAAGAAAGAAAGAAATCTCCATTATTTCTTAGCCGAATAGTTCCTTGTCTTCTTGATATTTTCCAGGCTGGTCCTTCTAATGTTAAATCTACATCCACATTGTGGTCTTTTGTTGAACGACCCACAGTAATCTAATCAAAGAGTTAAGAGTTTAAATACGAAATCAATTAAAATAATACAAGATAAGTTTAAGTGGAAATTTCCTACGATATAGTTTAAAAAATTCATTTTATCTTTTCTAAAAATTACCTCTCGTGATCTCATTAAATATCTAACAAGCCTTCCCCTAAGTATCGCTAAAGTTTGATTATCAAAATCTGGTGGATTTACTCCTGTTACGCTATCAACTAGAACCTGCCATCTACACAATTCATTTTCTAACACTTTTATTTCTCTTTTATTTCTCCTATCTGCTGCAATAAGTTCTGCATCTACTAACTCATCTTTCTGTTCCATTAATTCTGTATCATTGATCATTTCTTCTGCATCAGAAAAATTAAGAACGTGTTCACCCCGTGGTAAACTTTGTACAGTTTGGTCAGGAAGAAGATGATATTGTTTCATTAACTGCCAATGAGCTAATAAAGCTTTTGCAGTTCGGGCAGAATAAAATGTATGAGCATTTGCTTCAAGAAGTTCTTGAAAAACTTCTACCGTTGGTTGAGTAATCTAAACAGATATAAAAAGTTTTCTTATTATGTAAAAAATATATGTATAAGAAACTAAAACCAAAGGTATTTTATATTTTAAATTTATTAATATAGCTTAAAAAATATTTTATTAAATTATAACATTTAATTACCGATTTTATTGTACCCAGAAGATCTTCCTCTGCTTTACTGTATAAAGTTCTTGCTTGCACACTAGCAATTAATTCTGGATGTAAATTACGCATAGCTTGTACTGCTACTCTTGAAACAGCACTGTCGTATAACAAAGCGTACCATCTTTGTTGTATTTCTTGCAATGTAAAACGGCAAGAAAATTTTGTACCTCTGTGAACCTATTGGACATCAATGAGTTCTATGTATTACTACTATATTATTATTTTTAAAAAATATGAAAAATGAATGATACTAACAATACCTTAACATACTTAGTAAAACATTTATTGTATTTCTTTAATTTTAGCATTATAAAGTTAATTTCAAGCAATTAGATCTTTGTATTAAATGCTTGCAATAAAAAAAAAAGAGAAAATAAATACCATTCTTAAATCATTTGTCTGTTGCACACCAGTGATTAATGCTAAGTCATCTGTTGGTTTCCATCTTCCTAGATCTTTTGTTGCATTTACTGAATGTGAATGATTTTTATTCTTCTTATTTTTTCGTCCTGGAGCATTCGACGCTCCTGGTCTACTTGTTCGTCTGTTACATCTATCCGATTGAGAAACATTGGTAGAAACCTGAATAGGACTTGGTGCATTTTGTTGTGGAACAGCAGACTCTATTGGGGTAGTAGAAATTGAGACAGTTCTAGATCTGGAGGCAGACTTTGTACTTGTAGCTGGAGGTTGTAAGTTGAATGTTGTTTCAACAAGCTCGTCATCAAATTTTCTACGCTTTATTGTACGTGAAGAACTAAAAGTATAATACAAATAATATAGTTGAGATATATATAAGAATTATTAATCTGTATTTAATTAATTTAATTAATTTTTTCGGTATTATATTATATTTGAGTATTATATTATATTATATTATATATTGAGTATTATATTATATTGATTATTTTTAATCTTACTTATTGTATGTCATCTTTATTGACAACTTCCTTTGTATAAAGTACATAAAAAGTAATCAAACAAGTAATTCTTATATTGTATGCTTCTTCCTAATTATATTTGCTTATACAATTAATATTGTACGTAAGATATGATTTTAAATTAAGTATGACTTCAATAACGCTTTGTGCCTACAGTTGTTTGCATTTATATATGTACTTACACAAATGTATTTGTTTGTCCATCTTAACAAGCAAAATAAAATCTTATAGAAATTTTAAATGTACAAAAAAGTTTTTCTATTTATAAATGAAGGGACAGATTATAAGTTTGTAATAACTTAATCATCTCATAACTCATAAATAAATAAAAATAAATTTAACAGTTCTTTTATTTGTAAATGGATATAATAAATGTTCAAACAATGTTAAAGTCATATAATATTACGATATCCATGTGAACACAAATTTATTGAGAATTAATGTTATTTTACAGTTGCATTAACAACAATTGCAATAAAATGGTTGATTGATTTTGAAAGATAATAGCTTTTATTCGTTTGTATTTTACAGTCTTATGTGCAAACTTATTTCACTTTTAATTTTAAAAACTAATAGCCACAAACATGTTTTATTAATAATGTTTCTTCTCGTTTCACTTCACCTCATATATATATGAATTGCATTTTCTAGCACTGGTCAATTTATAAGGATACTATGTCAAAACTGCCTTCATATATATAAATATTTCATTTTAAATAATTCATGCAAATATTTGTTCTATTTCTCTAAATGTTTTCTTAAGTTATGTCATTATATACATTTTATGAAGAATTAAACAAATTTAATTGAAGTTATAATTTACTCACTAGAATTTACTTTTTAATATAAAATATTATCTAATTAGTATTAGATTAAATGTTTTGTCATAAAAATGTATCAATAGAGTTAATAGTAATTTATTATGAACTGCATTAATGAAAGAATTAACATTTATAAAAATATATAAATTGTCTTCTCTATTAGTACTAATATTTATAATATTTACAAAATCAATTTTAGTTTGGACATTATTAATAACTAATATAAAGTTAATTAACACAAACTTGTATAATATTCTCATTTGATTGTATTAAAATAAAAACAATTATTCATTCATATTTTTCATAAAATAATATTACGTCATGTAATTATGTGGTACAATTAAAGAATTAAGCTGCCTTTAGATGTATAGTATACAATATATGAACATAGAATCGTTTAAATCTGTAAATACATCTATAAGTGAAAAGTTAATATGCACCTTCTACGTTTTGTTGACAATGGATCCAAATTTGGAGATTCAATAGATATATTTAAAAATCCATCAGTATTATGGGAAAATCCATGATTTACATTTGAAGGAGTTGGAACATCCATAATTTGATAGGTTATGTTATTGTAAACAACTAATTATTGATATACATAAGTGAATTGTGTCATTGTACGGTGAATAATAAAACTTTCACGATATATTAATAAGTACTAGTTATGAACTAGTTTCATTAATGTCTAATGTTCATTTAAATAACTAAAATGTTTTATACGTCACGTATTCTTCGTATTTATATTCCAACCACGATTTAACAGAAGAATCAACCGTGGAAATAACTTTGATAGATATCATGTCAGTAGTGTTGCCAATATACGCAAAAAAAATAGAACTATAGAATATGATAATAGTTCGTTGCTTTTAGCAGATCTTTATTATATTTAAAAAAAAAATTGTTCTGCAATATTTTTACTCAAATGCTTTTACATAAATACTTATAAACTGTCTAGTTCTTTGTTTAAAGGCATCATACAAATATTTTAATTCGAAATGAAATTTAAAGCTGAAAGAAATATATTTACAAAATTTATGTTGATACTACTAGCAAATTGATATTAATTAATTAATATGTAAATCTAATCATTAAAAGCATTTGTTTAATTAGACTATATTATTATAATTTTACAAGGTTTATCACTTACATAATATCAAAAAATGTATATTATAATTACATGTAGAAGTATTTAAATTGCTAATTAAGAATAATATATATATATATAAAAAGAAATTGATAATATTAATAACACTAAATTAAAATTGTAAATCGAATAACTAAGGATTGAAATAATTAAGCTTCGTTGACACTATTTCCCTATAAAATCAGTTTTTCCGAAATTATAGTTTGTCAAATTATTTTTGAAATTCACTATACAGCTGGGTTATAAAATGGTCTGTTACTTCAATAATTACGATCTCGTACCTATTAGAACGTAGTTACATAAAAAATTATTATAATTATAATTATAATAAATTTACTTACTTTTGAAGTCAAACAATCACTGATAAATTCTACTTACTTTTTCTATTTTATTGTTTCTCATGCTGAATAATTACTTTAATATCATTAAAATTTAGTTATAGATTGAATCATATATAAATTAAATATTTATACAATATAAGATAGAATTACGCAATTTGATTTTCTACACACGTTTAAAACATTTTGTATGAAATAATTACAGAAATTAAAGCAAAAGAAGTTCAATCTTATTATAATAATTAAATGTACTTAGTACAAATGTTTTCGCATATGTGTGTGTACGTATCTTTGAAGCTTGAGAAATGACGAAATACACATTTTTAAAAGATATATACTTTTATCATCAAGGACAAAACTATTTAGTATATTTTGTAGAGTCATATAGATTTTCATATTAACAAACTATGATATTGAGAAACACATATACTCATATTATTTATTATATCAAATTGATACTTCCAATACCGATCGAAGTCCGTTGCTAATATTTAATTACAAATAAAACAACATTAGTTTTTGTCTACAATATTCTCATGATCAAATCCCCTTTTCCTATGTGAACGTTTTGTAAATATGTGTCAAGCAATCATTTAAAATGGTTTCTTTAAAAAAAAAAAACATTCGGAAATATTTTGGTTTATGCAGTCATTTTTAATTAAATTTTTTTTATAAAAAGTAATCAGCCTGAGGCTTTTTACTAGGTATTCCTCGACTTTCCTGTGGTGCTGCTTCAAATATTGTGAATTCTCGCTGAAGGTGTTCATTTAATTCTAATATTGCAGCAACATTACCACATCTATCAAAAAAATATTATATTAAAAATATCAATTTATAAAAAAAATCAAAGATGTAATCTCTTTATATCCTTAAAATATTCATTTACCTATAGCAGTAATTAGGTGCTGACCAAACAGTCAAAACAGTCTCATTAAAGTGCCATTTATATCCTTCCATAACTAATTGATGTGCTCTACAAATCATCTCAATATCATTTGCAGAATTAAACTGTGCTACAACATCACTTCCGAAAAGGTAACCAGCTCCACGTGGCGAAACTCCCCAACCTTGAGTATCTTCAGGATCTGACCAAAGTAAATCACACATTGGACCATCATGTGGCACCTATAAGAAGTTTATAAATATATATTTTGTTACATTGCATTTTATACCATAAAATTTTATCTAATATATATAAATAGTTCAATATTTTTTATACGAATTTAAACATAGTTCCTACTTCTTGTTTTCTATCTATAGTCCTTATTTGATCAAGTGTTTGAATGCTTGGAGATAATCCACCATGAACACAAAATATTTTTCCATCAATGATAGCGGAAAGAGATAAATAATCAAATATTTCAGTACAATATCGCCAAACTGTAATGCTGCCATATTTGCGTAAACATTCATCATAAAAGCCATAAACTTGTGTAATCTGTCGAGATTCATGATTTCCTCTTATTAATGTAATCCTATCAGGATAACGAACCTGTAAGTATGTTCACATCCATAGTTGTCATTACAGAGGTAATAATTCATTTCCTCAATGTAATTTTCAAAGTTAATAATTTTATTGATCATCATATTAATTTCTTATATCTTTAAGGCATTATATCGTTATAAAAATTTTTATAGTTACTTTTAATGCCAAAAGTAGAAGGAATGTTTCAACACTATAAAACCCTCTGTCAACAAAGTCTCCCATAAATAGATAATTTGTCTCTGGAACATCACCCCCAACCTTAAATAATTCTTTCAAGTCATAAAATTGACCATGAATATCCCCACATACCTGAAAATAAATCATGCCTTTTATAAACTATGATTATAATAATGCTTTACATTTATTGTAATAAAAACATACAGTAACTGGAGAGTCCACTCTTTGTACGTTACTCTCTTCAATAAGAATTTCACGTGCCTTGGCACAAAGAGCTTTAACCTCTGCTTCTTTGATGATTTCACATTTTTTTAGTTGTTCTATTTGCCGATCCAAATCACTGGAATCAGCCATTTTATAAAATAATGACCTTCACTGAAAACAATACCAAAAATCTTTCTATTCCTTTTAATACAGAAGTTACTTAACAATATAATAAACCCACATGATCGATTTATAATCATATATTATGAACAGTATAAGTTTATGTGAAATTATTAAAATTACCTGTTATTTACTGTATGATATACTTTCTTTGATATATATAATTTGAACTATTACTGAACATCTCTATTTTAAAAATGTTGTATAAATATGAAACAAAGACTTAAAACAATGCTTAAATAATGTCATACATGTAATCAATGTGTTATAAAACAATTAATAAATAACAAACTTGATAAGTAAAGTAATACAATATGATTTATAATTTCATACTTATAAAGTTATTAGAGCATATATGATAAGACTATAAAGAAACTTTTTGCTACATAGTCCTTAATCAAAAAACTCCATAATACATAACAATGTAAAAAAAATAATACATCATCTAGCATTAAACATTTCTTTGATAATGAAGAGGTCAATGCTTTAGAACAGCTGGAATTCTATGCTGAATGTAGCAGGTATTACATTGTTTAAAAATGGATATAATACGTTCCTTCTACAAATGTTTATGGATCTAACCGAATTATTTTTTAAATTTGTATAACAGTTACACTTTTATAAATATACATTTACAAACAGTTGCATATACTGCAAATGTACAATCTAATCAATTACGATTGTGTGTAAAAATTTTTCTTATCTCAACGTAATAGATAAAAAGTTAATAAGAAAATATATGCAATAAACAAAGTATGCAAATAAATAATGTGTATAAAAGAAACGATAAACGTACCTGATCGTATAAAGGGAGCGAGGCTTGCTTCGCCTAATAAATAAAACGCATTTAAACAATGCACGTGCAATTAAAATTCTTTGCGGTTATTTCATAAGAGTTAAAACATTAATAAGTGATTAGAAACAATCCAAAAGTTCATTTCAACAAATATCAAACATTACGATATAACTGACATTCAACATAGATTAAAGTAAACCGAGGAAAGAAATTTGAACAAATTTGTTGTTTCTATTCTAGATTTTATTCTATAGTGATATCGTTTGTTTAGCCGATTCGACGCGATGAGAATTCTCCTTTAGTTTGTATCTAGTAACTCAAAAAACTTTGGAAAATACATATGTATATTTAAATTCAAATTTCCCTAGATTCAAACGACTGCAATATATTTCTCAGAATGCAAGATGATGTATATAAAAATTGTTTTCGCTTTTAAATGTGCAAACATGTTTGAATTTTTGAAATAAAACTATTTGATAACATAATTATCAAGTGTTATGTGGAAGAGACATAGCTATTACGTGATCTCGAAGATTGGGATATGTAAGACACTTTTTAATTACCTTAAAGATGCTATAAAAACATTAATTATTCTTAATTTATTATAATTTATTAATATTATTAAAGTCAATGTTAATATTAACAAATTAATATACGATGAAACAACTTGAAAATCTTAATAGGATTGAATAAAAATAATTTTCCAAATAAAGCAGTTGAGATTACAATTGTAACATTTTAATCATATAAAGTAATCACGTGATGGTGTGCTAAATTTGTATCTCCTACTATTAAGATACTATCTCTCTCTTTCTTTGTCTCTTTCCCCTCTCACGTTACGATATCCCGTTTCTACTATTCCTCTCGACTTCTCGAAGATTTCCGTCTATCGAGTTGTGTTCAATATTAACGCGTGCTCTTGAAAACATTCTCTATTTGTACAAACGATGATAGTGTTTTAAAAACTAATCATTATATCCATGATTTTGCGTACTATTAAGAAAAATTGAAAATAATTTATTTCCTCTCTGTCTATTATCTATTCGGGTGAATTGCTCTTTCTCTTTGATGAGTACACAAGTGCGAAAATATCAGACAACGCAAAAGAGTTCCAACATCGATGTATCGATACTAAAGACTGCCGGGGGCGAGGTTTTGAGACAATAGTTTCTGAGTGAGGTTACATGGACTCATTGAAATGTCGTGGCTGCTCAAACAACGGACTTACGATTAGCTCAGGTGAGTCTAATAGAAATACAACATTGTTAAGAAGTTTTTTAGAACAGAAAAATTCATTGGTTTTCATTGGCTCGAAAGAGTAGGTTTGTTTGATTGTCGCTGGCCCGATTATTTTAGACGATGACGTGCTGCTTATGTATACTCAACACCTTGTATTCTTACTCTACCCGTGCCGCATTCCTTCGGTGCAACTGTGCGATATTTGTCTTAAACAGGATATTACCAGTTGTACTTGCTGCTGTTTCCATCGATATACACGAAACTGTAAATGAAAAAATATCTTTATAGATACCTACAACTATTTGAAAAATAATATAAACACTACAGAATACGTTTTTGATATAATTTTTATTTTAAGTAATAAACAAAATTATTATATTCTGATATAACAGTATGTTAATTTACTATTTGAAGTTATGAAATAAACGAAACATTTGGAAATCGTATGCTTAATTGTGATTATTCTAACTATTTAATCTAACTAGTGATTCTTTGAAAAAAAATACCAATCTTATATTTTATTTAAATGAAAAAAGATGGGAGAAAACAGGTTAAGCTGTGTTTTGTTCAGTGCTTTAATTATATCACAGCTTTAATGTTGTATTGAAGAGGATTGTTAAATGAACATTTCATGTCAAACTCTTCATTGTTTACATAATGTGATATATGTCAATAGAGTATTATATCTCTGTTATCGAGATAAACATGAGCATTATTTACATTCTACAATACGATCTATGCATTTGTATTTTACAAATTACAACTTTTCGTTGTCTCTTTCGATGTATTGAAATGAGCTATTGAAAACGATGTCAAAACATTCAACAAAAACGTTGTTCTTAATTTATCTTTTTCATTAAATTTTCACTCTGTTAATTGCGCATATTAAATTACTGCAAAAATCTTTAAAAATACTCAAAAGCTTAATCAAACGACAATTTTTATGTCCTGTAAGAGAAAGCAAATTTATCGATATTACGCGTATTCATCGATTTTATCAACTTTTCTTCCTTTATGAAACTTTATTTATTCTTCCTTTATTTTGTATATTTAAATATCTGTTTCACAACATTTTGTTTTATATTTGGAATTTAAGAATATTTGAAAATTCAGCGATTTATTGTTTTTTTTTTATTTAAACATATTTATATTAGTAGATTTTACTTAATCTTAGAGTTTCTACATATTTGAAATCGTCAATACCTAGTCAATATCCTATTATCATTGTAACAGTATGCTGTCTTACAATGGAAGTATTTGGTTAATTTTACGAGATTTTATAGTCACTTTTGGAGGAAAGAATCACCTACGTTCATTTCGTTCTTACAAATGATATTGACCATTGTAGAATTTTCTACAACATACTTTTGTTGCTTTATTTATTTTATTACATTTATTTCTTGACTCCTGCCTTTACAGAACTCTATTATTCATTATGTTAATTTCTTTTTATCGATATATTTAAGTTGTAAGATTTAGTTTTCCTTAATTATCAATTTAATGATATTGTACTGTATATTTTAGTTACAAAGTCATAAACGCATACTACAGATATCTATTAAATATTTACTAAATATTTTGTAAGTTTCCATTTGTTTCGTGTAAAATACTTTCTCCGCTTATCCAACAAAATATTTTTTCATATTAAGTTTGAAGGCAATAATTAAATTCATAATTATGATAAGAGCTGTTATATATAATCCTAAATGTACATCTTTCTAATACATAACTTTCCATTCATTTTCTACATATTCTTTAACTAGAAAGTCTAAAAGGAAATACAAATATAGACAGCAGAATTTTTTCTTCGTAGAGAGCAGGTAGAGAGTTTGTTTCCTAGAAGCGAAGTGGTCTCCTAAGTATGTACCGACCTATTAGCTTCGAATTAGCTTCGCGTTAGATCGAATACTTTGGGTGGCCGTGCATTCCTTTAGTGCAGTACAAGAACACTACATTCTTCTTAAAGCGTTATATACAATTCTCATTAATAGAATCGCGTTTACACCATTATACGTTTACATTTCTTTAAAACATTAATTATACATTTATTTAATGTACAAGCAGGCATAAGGTGATTCCTCGGTTCCTTTCTCGATAATTAAGCCGCAAGCGAAAAATTTTCTTTATTATATATTTTCTTCTCAGTTTTTCATCAGGAATTACCTCATGCTCGTTTGTATATGTTATTCAGCCGTATCCTGTATATGTAGTGTAAAAAACTATATAGTTTGCATCCATGGATACAGTTAATACAATAATATAAATAATACAAATAAATAACTTTGGAGATGTCGATGTACCTGAATAATAATTCTAAGATAAATTGCAAGATATAAAAAATAAATTCTGAATTCGAATATCTATAACAGAAATATTTGCTTTTATTATTTTTATTCTTTTCGTCGTATTATGTATAGAAATCATAAGTTATTGTAACTGTTATTTACTATCTGATTAAATAGAACTATCGCTAATTAATAATGTATTATCAAAACAGTATTTAATTGAAATAATTGTACAAAACAATAAGAATATACGTATACTCACAGTATATTAACAACAAAATATTGGGTTTAATTCTTTGAAATACATTTATAATAGTAAGTTATTAACAGACATTATTATACTATACTTACAAAGACGTATCCTTCCTATCCTGACTTAAAAATTTTGAACCTTTAAAAGCCATCTTTTTTATTTATCTTATGATAAAAAATGTTTAAATATCGACTTGTAATAATTCAAGGTACAAAGTTGATGTTGGTCATGTAAGGTTAATATTTCGCTTTAAGCATTATTTTAACTATCTTTTCAAAATGATAGAGAATTGTTCTATTTTATATCAAATAAATTTAATAAATAAGCTTAGAATCTGCTACATTAATGAAACAAAATATCTCAATTTAAAAATGAAAACTCTTTCATATGTCTGATTATGAAATTACGTATCTAAATTAAATATAACATATAATAAAAATGTTATCATTATACAAGGTTATCACAATATGTAATACAAGCAATAAAACTAATAATAATAATATTGTATTGACGAAATGTATTAAAAAAATTTTCATTCGATTTATTTAATTTTATTTTCACTTGCTACATCTGAATTATAAATGTAAATAGCAAAATAAAAAAAGCAGTTTAAGTAATTTAACTGTTTCTCGTGGAACAGCTTTATGTCAGGTAACTGAAGCAAACGCGTTGAAAATTCGCGGCTAGATTAATCGCCCAATCATTCGGCAGCAGACAGCATGGCACTAACCTTTCTGTTTCTATCTCTATCTGTAATAGAATGCAGGTCTGTCTCAGTGGTTCTCAAATTTTATATCCAATCATATAAAAATATACAAACATTTTACTTTTCATCTATTCATGTGAATAGTGACATATAACAAAAATCATTAGTTTCAAGATATTTGCAAGAATTAACAGTAAAAGTGAGCTATTTGTGTACTGTTATGGAAATATTATAATATCTTTAGCAAAATTATATGTATATATAGTATTTAAAAAGAACAATGTCATGATTCAAAATAGTCCTAAGACTATTAGTTAAATTATAAAAGAAAATAATTTTTTCATTGCTAAATGGTTGAGTAAATTAATAATTTCTACTTCAAACAGCTGATCTTATTTTAAATTTACATTTCTTAATTATATGATTATTTTAGCATCCAGTGATTTGTGTTTGTATAACAATTTATGTTAAAACTATTTGTCGTTAAATAAACTTTTAACAAATTCGTGTATACTTTTTAAACATATCTCTAAATGTTGTATTTTTAATTATCTATTATTTTATATAAAAATTTAATATTTGAGCTTAACGAGTTATATAATTAATTATTTAATTCTTATTTCTATGAATTAATAAGATGATTATCATGAATTGACACATAAATATAAGAGTTAATGCAAAATTATTTTATTTCCTATAATTTTAACTTTAGCTATGAATTATCAAAGAGCATTATCAAATTTTTCTATGAGGAGCAAATGAAATTTACAATACTTTCTTTTATGGTAAAAATCTACAATATGCAGTCATTAATGATTAATTTTTGACTATTTTTCTCAATTCTTCATGTCACTATTAAAATATTAACTTGTGACTATATGTATAATTAAATTAGAATTGTGTTTGTTTCATTATCCATTTTTAAATCTCTTTAAGGAACTGTTCATAATTGACATACAATATCAGGAGTTTCATTATTTTGTTTTTAGGGAGGCAACATCCGTGAGCAACGACATCACAATGCGCATGTTGCTGCCACTGAGGTTGGTTTTAGTCGCAGCAAGTTTGCTGCTGGCAACTACCACAGCAAACATTCACTTGCATCTACATTCTGATAGTGCCAAACATTTTGCTATCAGCGAACGTCAACAAGCAATTGCTGGAATTGAAGCTAGCCTTTTGTCACTTCTTGGTTTTGCTAAAAGGCCAAAACCGCAAGGCCAAGCTTATGTTCCTGAATCATTGAAAAAACTTTTTGTAAAACAAAATACAATTGGTATGGCTGATATTGCTAAACCAGGAATTCATGCCAGATCTGCTAATACAGTGCGTTCCTTTTCTCATGTTGGTAAGTATATTTATAAAAAGTAAATGTATCTAAAATTATTTTTGACATTATATTAGTTAATAAATTATACTGTATGTTTGCAACTGAATAACGATTAAATATTACTTACAATATAATGTAGTTAAACAATGCAAAAAGTAAAATTTAATGCACTTTAAAATATAAATGTACATTACAATATGTGTAGATAACAATAATAATAACATAATTAAAAAGGTTAAATAAAATATATGATAATTAAGATCCATACTATTACATTATTATTTATATCTCAACCTTTTTCTTCTTTTATTTGTTTTTATGCAGAAAGTGAGGTGGATCATAAATTTCAATCTCCAAATCGCTTTCGTCTTTCCTTTGATTTAAGTAGTATACCTTCAGGGGAGAAGTTACAGGCTGCAGAATTAAGTCTTTCTCGTGTACCTATTTTAAATGAAGATGATTCCAATTCGAAATTGGGTAGAATACTTATATATGATATTTTACGTCCTGGTGCAAGAGGACATAGAGCTCCGCTATTGCGTTTAATTGATAGTAAACCACTAAACACTAGGAAAAATGGCACAATTAGTGTAGACGTACATCCTGCTGTGGAAAGATGGATAAAAGATCCTAAGAACAATCATGGACTTTTAGTACATGTACGTGGAACTAAACAGGAGCATGTGCGTTTAAGGAGAAACGCAAATGAAAGAAACGACACATGGGTTGTTAATCGTCCAATGTTATTTACTTATACAGATGATGGCAGGTACAAACTAGTTTCTTCATATATTTTTATTCCTTTTTATAGAAAGAATAACTACAGCATTATCGTAACCTTTCTTAATTATGCATTCGAAATTTAAAGCTTTTAATCTAATATTTTATTTTAAACATTTATTATTATTTACATACACGTGTATAATAGCAATGTATTTAAATTGCGTGTAATAACAAATTATATTATACATATAATATATTCAAATTTGGATGATTTGATAATGAACTATAAGTTCACAGAAAAAATATTAATATTACATAGTATATGAAATAGTTTTCTAATAATGATTAATACATAATTTATATCAATATAAAATCAATAATTTACAAGAATATTATATCAAGAATATTTATTATTTAGATATAAGATGTCTTCTGCAAGTCAAATAATGGACCGTCGTGCCAGAAGAGCAGCACTTCGAAAAAACCGCCGAAAAGATGGACGTGAAAATTGTAGGCGACATCCACTTTATGTTGATTTTGCTGATGTTGGTTGGAATGATTGGATTGTTGCCCCCCCTGGTTACGATGCCTTTTATTGCCATGGTGATTGCCCGTTTCCATTAGCAGATCACTTAAATTCTACCAATCACGCAATTGTCCAAAACTTGGTTTACTCAACAAAACCAAGTATGGTGCCTAAAGCTTGTTGTGTACCTACCGCTCTTAGCTCTATATCCATGCTTTATCTTGATGAAGAAAATAAAGTAGTATTGAAAAATTACCAGGACATGTCTGTCCTTGGATGTGGGTGTCGTTAACTATTTGCTATTTGGTTCAGTAAACTGTTTTTACAGTGAAGAATGTATGTGCAATAAAAATGAAAATAGTTAAAGAGACATTAAAAAATGAGGGAACAAAGAACTGAGATTTTATTAAATTGAATAAATAGTAAATAATGCCATTTTTGGAGGGTATGTTGAATTGTTTATTAAATGTTTAGGCAATTATAACACAGTTGAACGATTTTAAGTTCATTGTATGTGGAAATTTCAAACGATTGATTAATTGTCGGAATTTCAAATATTAGGCTGGTTGCCGAATTTGTCCCATGTTTATAAAATAAAAAGAATCTGAAAAGTTTGTATAATGCAGTCAAATTTCGGTCTATTGATTATCATAGAAAAATTTAGACACAAGGAATAAAAAAAATTTATTATAAATACTTCAAGTCCTCCAAAATTTTCTGTGCATAAGAAATATCAATCAGTTCTTCTTGGACATAATGATTATTTTTATTAAGTCTATGTGGTTGTTTAGAAAGGAAGAAAGATTTAAAAAATTAGGCATTTAAGATTTTGATCCTTGTTGTTTGTACTTGTACCTTACGTTAACACGTTGACTGCCATGACACCCGTATTCGGGTGTTAGCAAAGTTTCTGGTCAGGCCGTGTAACCCATATTCGGGTGTCGTTTATTTGTAACCCATATTCGGGTGTCGT